TTTGGGGAGGATTTTTTGGGGGCATTTGGGGATGATTTTTTGGGGTCTCCAGGACGATTTGGAGAGGATTTTCCGGGGGTCTCTGGGGGGATTTTGGGAAGATTTTTTTGGGGGATTTTTGGATGATTTTTTGGGGGTCTCCAGGAGGATTTGGGGAGGATTTTTCGGGGCTCCCCGGCAGGATCTGGGGGGATTTTTCGGGGGTCCTCGGGAGGATTTGGGGAGGATTTTTTGGGGTCTCCAGGAGGATTTGAAGAGGTTTTTCTGGGGGGATTTTGGGAAGATTTTTTTGGGGGATTTGGGGATGATTTTTGGGGGTCTCCAGGAGGATTTGGGGAGGATTTTTCAGGGGAATTTGAGGAGGATTTTTCAGGGGGATTTGAGGAGGATTTTTTGGAGGTCTCCAGGAGAATTTGGGGGGATTTTCCGGGGCTCCCTGGCAGGATCTGGGGGGATTTTTCGGGGGTCCCCAGCAGGATCTGGGGGGATTTTTCGGGGGGATTTGGGGAGGATTTTTTGGATGTCTCTGGAAGGGATTTTCCGGGGGTCCCCGGCATGATCGGATGTGATTTCCGGGGTTTTCCGGGAGTATCTGGGGGGATTTTCGGGGGTCCCCGGCAGGATCTGGGGGGATTTTTCGGGGGTCCCCAGCAGGATCTGGGGGGATTTTTCGGGGGGATTTGGGGAGGATTTTTTGGATGTCACTGGAGGGATTTTCTGGGGGTCTCTGGGGGGATTTTCGGGTGTCCCCGGCAGGATCTGGGGGGATTTTCGGGGGGTCCCCGGCAGGATCTGGGGGGATTTTCGGGGGTCCCCGGCAGGATCCGGGGGTCCCTCAGCCCCGCCTCCGCCCAGGTGCCGCACGGGATCAATTTTCGGGAGAAGAAGCCGCGGCCGTCGCGGAAGAAGCCGGAGGGGCCGGCGGCCGGGGGGGCCGCGGGCGGGACCCCCGAGGAGCCGGGGGGGCCCCGGGGCCGCGTGGCGCGCTTCCGCCCCTTCCACGACATCTACGGCTACTCGGGGGTCAGCACCCTGAAAACCCGGGGACCCCAAATCCGGGGGGTGGGACCCCAAAAATGGGCAGGGACCCCAAATCCACCGGGATCCCAAATCCACCAGGACCCCAAATCCACCGGGACCCCAAATCCGGGGCGGGTGGGACCTCAAAATCCACCGGGACCCCCAGTTCGGGGGTGGGACCTTAAAATCCACCGAGACCCCAAATCCAGGGCGGGTGGGACCCCAAAATCCACTGGGACCCCGAATCCGGGGGGTGGGACCCCAAATCCACCGGGACCCCCAGTTCGGGGGTGGGACCTTAAAATCCACCAGGACCCCAAATCCAGGGCGGGTGGGACCCCAAAAATGGGCAGGGACCCCAAATCCACCGGGACCCCAAATCCGGGGGGTGGGACCCCAAATCCACCGAGACCCCAAATCCGGGGCGGGTGGGACCCCAAATCCACTGGGACCCCAAATCCACTGGGACCCCAAATCCGGGGCGGGTTGGACCCCAAATCCGGGGAGGCTGGGACCCCAAAATCCACTGGGACCCCAAATCCATTGGGAATGGGATCCCAAAATCCACTGGGACCCCCAGTTTGGGGGGTGGGACCCCAAATCCACTGGGACCCCAAATCCGGGGCGAGTGGGACCCCAAATCCACCGGGACCCCGAATCCATTGGGGGTGGGACCCCAAATCTGCCCCCACTTCCAGATGTCCCCAGGTGTCCCTCACCTGTCCCCAGGTGTCCCCAGGTGTCTCACCTGTCCCTCACCTGCCCAGGTGTTCATCTGCGGCCCCTCCCCGCACTGGGTGCTGCTGACGGGCCGGGGGGCGCTGGGTGT